TCATTCTAAATATCTCGGAAATAAACAAAGTAAATTTGGCTACCATGCACTTTGAGGGCAAAGCAGCCCTTTGGTTGCAGAATTTCAGCCCACAACAACTGGAACTAGGGTGGCAGCAGTTCATTGAAATAGTCTCTGCGAGGTTTGAGGAGATCAAGGATATGAAGGTAATAGCTGAATTTAATAAGTTAAGGCACACTGGTTCTTATGCTGAGTATGTAGACAAGTTTGAGGAATTGAGGGCTTGCATGTTACTAATGAACCAAGGGGAATTCTCAGAGGAATACTTTGTTGCGAGCTTTATCAGTGGGTTAAGTGAGGAATTGCAGGCATTTGTACAAATGTTCAAACCCACAACATTACAGCAGACCATAGAATTGGGGGCAAAAACAGCTCCTAACCCTGGAAGCTATCTCAAAGAAGGTGAAGTGGAGCCAGAAGCCAATACAGGGACAACCCATGTCACAGAGGGTTCCCTACAGCTCACAAGCAAACCACAAAGCAAATATCACTCCCATTTCTCAGAAAACCCCTACCAGACTGCTCACTTCAGTGGAAATGGCGGCTAGAAGGGAGAAAGGATTATATTATAACTGTGATGAGAAGTTCACCCCTGGCCACAGGTGTAAACACAGGGTAAATTATATGATTATGACTGAGGATGAGGAGTTATCTTACATCAACAGCTCACAGGAAGACACAACTTCCCAGGAGGATGTGATGGAGGAAGCACAGGTGTCATTAAATGCTATTGTAGGTGAAGGGAGTCTCACAACCTTAAGGTTCCTAGGCTTTGTAGGAACCCACAAACTGCAAGTACTTGTGGACACTGGAAGTAAACTAAGCTGTATTAAAGAAACCACTGCTGCCAAGCTGGGGTGTAATCTGATAAAGGTAAACCCTCTTCTTGTGAAGGTTGCCAGTGGACAAAGGCTAATTAGCACTCACCAAACTGACAATTTCAGTTGGTCTATGCAAGGGTATGAATTCAACTTTCCATTGAGAGTTTTGCCAAGTGAAGGCTATGACATAATACTGGGAGGTGATTGGCTAAAAGCCTGTACACCCATTGAACTAAATTATGAGGAGATGACAGTCACAGTAAAGACGGGGAAAGACAGGGTCACTCTACAGGCTTTAACAGGAAAGAGGGAGTGCCATATTATTACTTGCCATGAGCTTTACCACATGATGGACACTGAACAGAAATATCAAATTGAGGAGATGTATCTACTCACAATACAACCCTGTGAACTGGAACATGAAGGAATGATGGCTAAACTCCATAAAGAATTTGAGGATGTGTTTTCTGAACCCAAGGGACTGCCCCCTGAGAGGGGGATTGAGCACCAAATTTTACTTAAACATGGAAGCAGCCCCAAGCAACAATTTCCCTATAGAACCTCTCATGATCAGAAAGAAGCTATTGAAGGAATAGTACAAGAGCTCCTACAATCAGAGGTGATACAGAACAACAAGTCACCTTTTGCCTCTCCTGTGTTATTGGTCAAAAAGAAAGATGCCACTTGGAGACTTTGTGTTGACTACAGGTATTTAAATGGGCTTACTATTAAACATGAATATCCAATACCCATCATTGATGAATTGTTGGATGAACTCCATGGTGCCAAATACTTCTCAAAAATTGACCTAAGGTCAGGCTATTTTCAGATACTAATGAAAGCTGAGCATAGATACTTAACTGCCTTTAAAACTCACAGTGGTCATTATGTGTTTTTGGTGATGCCTTTTGGCCTCTGTAATGCCCCTGCAACTTTCCAGTCTTTAATGAACCAGATTTTCAGAGGTTGCCTAAGGAAGCACACACTAGTCTTCTTTGATGACATACTAGTATACAGCAAAACTTGGAGTGAACACCTCTGCCATCTGAGGGAAGTCTTAACAATACTAAGGCAGAACACCCTATTTGCAAAACTGAGCAAGT